TGCTGCAAAAGGCAGGAAAGAAAAGATCACTACTGATATTTTAACTCAAACAAATAAATTCATATGTTGATTTCACCTTTTGAGTCATTCTCCCTGCCACTCCACCAGGCCCTGGACAATCTTTCAAACCCTAGATATCAACTGATATGTGGTCAGGAAATGTGCACTTATTTCAACATTGGCCTAAGTAGAGCTCAATTAAGAAGGGAAAGCTTGAAAAAATTTACAAAAGCAACTCTAAATGGTTCCACTTTTTTTCTGTGTTTATTTCTTTTTCCATGGCACTAGAAAGGAAAAGTTGTTTGAGAACTAAAGAACTTAAAACTGTAAGATTGGGAGTGGGGTTGGGGGCGGGGTGGGGGGAGGAAGGAGAAAAGAAAGGAAAGAGAAAGAAAGAAACCAAAGATGTGTTATTTTCCTATGGGAGATCCACTCTAAATCAATAAGGTTCAGCAATCTGTTTCTGTAAAAAGACAGATAGTAAATATTTTAAGTCTGTGGATCTCTAATGCAACTACTCATCTCTACCCTTATAGCACTGGAGCTACAATAAATATGTAAATGAATGAGGGTGGCTGTGTTCTAATAGAACTTTATTTACAAACACAAGTGGCAGGCCAGATTTGGCTCATTGGCCATAGTTTTTTGGACCCCTGCCCTAGATCAATGAATGCCTATCACAGATACCTAAGGCTGAAAGGCAGTTTAAAAAGTCATGTTGTCTATTACAGAAAAGGCAAAAAAAAAAAAAAAAAATATATATATATATAAGGGGGAACAAGGCAAGGTCACATGCAAACTATCCTGGACGTAGTTGTTTGCGCACTTCTCAAACATATTCTGAAAAGAATTCCACTTCCCTTGGCACCACCCTCTTTTGTCTCACAACTACCATAGTCAAGATGTTCTTTCTATATCTAAATGCCTCCTGATAAAACGTAAGCTCATTATCTCTTACCAGTCTTCCACGAAAGTAAGAAGAGCCACTTTCCAGCATACAGATAGTACCAACACCTCTTTATGTGTGTAGTGTGTGTGCCTGTGTGAGAACACACATATGCATTTTGGAAAAAAGTCTTTGGACCCAATAACCCAATCTTTCAAGTCCAAAGTCAGAATCATTCCTGAAATTCTTCCCCTCCAGAAAGACCTCACATTTAGGAAAAGGATAGGTTGAGCTGAGTTAAGGGATTATGACATCTCCAAAACTCATTACCATCCCGTGTTTGCAAAGATAACCATCTCCCCAAATTAAGGAGAATAGTTTGATTCAAAGGTGGCTTATAGTTAGGGTAACAACAGAGTTTTCTGTCCAAGCTGGGACACTTGTGAGAGTGAAATAAGTATGTTGAGACAGCAGGTATAAATCGGGATGAGGCACAAAAGGTTAAGCACTCAGCTACATTTCCCCAAGGTGGTGATGTGCTTACTGTTGCACAAAGTCCAGTGTTGTTTGAAAAGAGAGGAATGTTCACCTCTGCCTAAAAATAAGTTTTATGGAAAAGAGAAAATGTCTGAAGGTAAAGGTAGCCCAAGTGATTTGGTCTTGTTCAAATCTCTTTGTTTTGTTTTCAAGCAGCCCTGGAGAAGTGGCATAGAGAGCCTGACAAGTCCTTTGTGACCAGCCCAATGACTCTGGTTTTAAAAGGTGCTTTCCAGTGGAGAAACTTGTCAATTAGGGAGCTGATGGGCAACTTTTCAGAGGAGGTGAAAGGAAAAAAATTAAAGAAAAAATTAAAAATTCCCAAACCTGGAAATCTCTAGGAAGCTAAAAGCAGGGAAGCCAGATAACCTATTCCTTAAGTGCATCATCCCTCTTCCCCATCACCGGTTTTCGTCTTTCTCTCCTGTTGCTTACTGCAAGCAGAAACACTTAAACCATGTGTGTGCCACCAGATAAATGAATTTAAGATAATGTGACAGAGTCAAAGTTCAATTAGAGTCTCCTTTCCTTTCTTTACTAAGGGATTTAGAGAAAAACAATTATTCATTAGAACTGGACTTAAGAACGAGAAACTGCAATCAATGCTCATTTGGCTAGGCCAGTCCCTCTCCTAAGCAAATACTTCAGAGAGACCTGGACTTTCCACTGTGATTGTGTCAAGGATCCATGAGCATATTTTTAACTGTTTATAATTTAGCACTTAATCACTTTTCTCATCTTTCTTTTCCTACCTTCTCAACACAGGCAACACCACCACATCTTTAGGTCTCTCTGCTCACTGCTAGCTTACAGGTAATCAGAATATTGTGCAAAAAACGAAAGAGAGAAAACAGACTCTGAGTAAGAAACAGAAAAGCACCAGTATTCTGCAGTTCTTTGACTTTGGAAAATGATGTTGTAGGTTTGCTTCGGTGTATTTTTTTTTAAAGCATCGATGCATTGAAGATATATTCACTGAACAGGCTGATTTATTTAACAAACATGACATATGTCAAATTCTACCATGTGGTTACATAATTGTTACCAATTTATCAGAGCTGTTATTTAGCCAAATATTTATTTTAAAAGTATTTCTCTTTAAATTACTTTCTGTATCCCACTACACAATCTGTGGTTCATTTTAATTATGTTCTGACAACAGCTATTTGGTGATGGTTTCTGAAATTTAATCTTCCTAGTGATATCTCATCTCCATCCAAACTCTACTGCTTTTCTTTCTAGTAATAAATTTTTGGTTAAAATCACACCTAAGGGAAATTTTTAAAAATACGCACAATGCCCTTTCATGTCATGGTATTTTAGACTTCTGATTTCCTTAAAAAGTAATTCCCCATATATTGTTAAAATCACATACCTGAATACTCTTAACCTTTAAAAAAACGACAAAAGGTTGTGATTTTTTGGGGTATGAGTGTGTATCTGTAGGATGTGGGAGGGTGGTTGGGATAGCTAGGGGAGAGCTAGACAGAGAATTAGGTAGAATAATAGAAAGTAAATTGAGTCGAATTTCAAGTCTAACAAATTTTGTTGAATCACCCTACCACACTTGAATACATATGCACAAATAATTGTATCTTTTTAACGCAAATGGATGCAATCTATCTAGGTTCTGTGGGAAATAAAATGTTGGATGGTATTTCCAAGAAACAAAAATGTCTAATTACTAACTGCTAGGGCTGGTTTAGTTCCTCTATTGTAAATATGTCCTTTGCAAAGCTAGAGGCTTATTTTGACCTCTCAGGTCAAGGAGTGTGGGGAAGTAGGAAAGATGTGGGGGAGGGGGGAGGAAGGTAAAGGGAATACTATCAATACACAAGTAAATCCTTGACCTAGTAAGCAAACACGTTTTTGTTGTTACTGCTGGGTAAAATGTACAAGTTTTCCAGAAATTAGACACTGTAATAAAAATGTACCAGCCCAAATTCAAATTGCTCACTAGACAGATGGTTGATTATATTCACAGCCGTGTATTTCACTGGGAGAGTTTCAGACATTCAGCCAGTTTTATTTGATTAGCCCGTTTCCCAGCTAATATGTAAAATGACAGTTACTTAGGGCCTTTTTGTTCCCTTCTAAAAATATTTTTTTAAGTAAGTGTAAATTCTTTTCAGCCATAAGAACGTCATTGCTGTAAATAAAACGTTTACTCAAATATTACCCTACGTGTAAAGATGTAAGGGAGATTCACCCCCTGAAAATACAAATGGTCTTTAGTAGTTCAGAGAAGACCACCGGAGCCTCTTTTCTCACCGAGCAAAACATTTCAGGAACTATCTGCACACTTTGCTCCTCTTCCAAAAACAAACGAAAAGATATTCAATTCCCGGGTTAAGGTGGTTTTTAAAAACAGCCCTGCCAGCCCTATTCACAAGTCATGCTTTTGAGATAACGGTCTAGAAAATGGAACGTTAGGAAAAGGCCACATAGCTAAGTATACTGCTGTTCACAGAATTCAACAATATGCTGGGAGCTAAAACCCAGAAGCAAAATATGAAACCCATTCAATTTCAAAGTGCGACCAGAACCTCAACAAAAATCAAGCGTGCTTGTGTCGAAATGAGGATGCTTTTTTTTTTTTTTTAACTTCCAAAAAGACAGAAAACCTTGCGCGGGTGATTCGGTCCCTCACGAATTAGGCAGAAGCAGTCATGCTGAAACCCCTGGATTCCTCAGCAGAAACGGCGCCAACTCCGCAGCGCGTATTCCACACTTTTCCTGAGCAAGGCCCAGCTCCCCGAGCCGGCTCGCGGCCTCACCACCCTACAGGGTATACGAGACCCGAGACCCGAGACCCGAGTGGACGTGTGCTGTTGGGCGCGGCAGAGAAAAGCGCCAGAAGCCGCGCAGGGAAGCGTCAATTCGACTGCCGCCCAGAGCGGGAAGGGGCCAGGGCCAATTTCCGCAAAGGTGGCAAGCTGGAAGAAGGTTGATAGGGCCTGTAACTTACCCGCCCGCAGTCCCCATTGGGTGGTGTGTGCTCCCAGTGCGCTCTGTGGTCTGCAGGGCCGCCTCGCGCGGGAGCTGCCGGCGGAGGAGGTGCCGGCGAATCGGCTTCGCACCTCTGCCTCTTTGGCTGAGGCGCCCGGCCTCGGCCGCCGCGTGGGTTTTCCCGCTCTCGCCAAACTGTGCTATTCTGTGCCCCATCCCCTGGCCAAGCCCTCACGGGCAGCAGCCCGAAGGGAAGCGGCACTCTGCCAGTTCCCCGCTGCTCCGCTGTGTGCGTGTGTGCGCGCCGCGGTTCCAGCCCACTCGATCCCTCCCCCACCGCCCCCCCCACCCCCGCAAGCATAGCGGCCTTTCCTAGATTGCAGTGCCTGGCAGGGACAGCTGAGATCTCTGGCGGCCTCGCTCCCTCGTACACAGACACACACATGCACGCCATTCGCACACAAACGTTCACCCCTCCGTTTTCCCTTCCTCTTCTCGCTCTGCTTCCTCCAATTCGTTCCACCCCCCGCCGCCGCTGCCGCCGCCACCCCGAGCCAGCCAGGGAGCCGGCGAGAAGGCCTGGGCGGGGCGGGGCGGGGGGTGGCTGGCAGGCAGCGATCGTACTCACCTCACAGGCCGACTCCCGAGGCGACGTCGCTGGCGGGCTCAGGCTGCGGGAGCTAGAGGTGGCGCGGCCGCAGTCGATGCTGTGGTGTCGCTGTCGGTGCAGCTGCTCGAGCTGCCGCCGCAGCCTCTGCTGCTACTGCTACTGCTGCTGCCGCCGCCGCCGCCGCCGCCTCTGCCTCAGCTCCATGCGCGGGGCCGCCAGGTGGACGCGCCTCTCTCCCTCACGCTCTCCCTTAGGCTCAGCCGCCGCCTTAGTAGATGGAGTCAGGGCTGTCGGGCTCTGGTTCTGATACTCAGCGCCTCAGTGGCTGCGGGGCTGCTCCCAATGTCCGTGCTTCGCACGCACGGCCGCTCGCTCTTGCTGGGGCTACCTCACCAGCGGACTGCGTGCGGCGCTTGCAGCCCGCTCAGTGCGGCTGCTGCGGCCGTCTGCGGAAGGGAAAGAGGAGGAGGGCGGCTGCTACTGTCGCTATCGCTGTTAAAGCTATTGCTAAATGCTGCTACTGCCGCCACTGTCGCTACTGCTACTGCTGTGGCTGCTGCTGCTGCTGATGATGATGCTAGTGGCTTTCCTTCCTGGGTTCTCCCTCTGCCTCGTCCCCCCTTCTCCCGCCCCCCTTTCTCCTCCTCCTCCCCCTTCTCCTCCCTCCGCTGCTTTTCTCAGAGCCCCTGCGGGCGCTGCCTCGCCTCCTTTCCCTGAGCTGCCTCTTGTCCATTCAAAAAGGTGCCCAGAGTGGGGCTGCATCGGCTGCCACGATCGCTATTGCCCCTGCCATTGTTTCCTCCAACGCAACTGTTCTTGCTGGACGCGTTCCCCCCTCTACTCCTCCTTCCCACCACAGCCCTCCCTTTCCCTCCAGCTCTCTCCTTACCCTCTCTATGGTCCCTTCCCCTTGTGCCCCCTCCCACTCTGTCAATACGTCCCTCCCTCCCTCCCGTCAGGAGCCCGGGAGCGCGCACCGCGCAGCCACCTGTCATAAAGGGCGCACACTCCGGTTCCCCAAACCACACCACCACCCACTCGCATTCTTGCAGCGGGTCCAGTCCACTGCGCCACTGGCCACTGGGGCGTTCTTTCCTCGGGCAGATACGCAATCGGACACCGTTCTCCCATGCCTTTTAGGTCAGTTGTGTGTGCGGAGAGGGGCGCTCTGAAGTTTGGTGAAGAATATTTGAATGGCTTTTTCCACCAAGCATCTAACCATTCAACCGCCGCCTACCCTTAACTTCAGGACTTAAGCCCCTGGGAGGGTGGGTCGTGTTGGAAGGGATGGATGAAGGGCCATTCCCTGGAGAATTGGAGAGAGGTGTTGTGTGCAGTAAGGACGAAGATAGCCTGAATATGGCCAGAAAGAAAATGGGATCTGCCTGACTGCTATCATTTCCCTTCAGATTTCCTGGGAACCCAACAGGAAACAGCAAGAGATTGGAGAATAGCTTGGGACCATTTAGTGCTAGGGGACCCCTGGGTGTAAGGTTGTGGTTTGAGCCACTGAGCCGCCACCACCAGGATCCAGGGCAAGCGATTGAAAGGATGGGGCTAGAACAGAACTGAAACTACTTTGTGTGCACTATCTCCAGCAAGCCATTACCAAAGCACAGCTTCTCCAATCAGGCAGAGCCCAATTTCAGGTTTTTCTGCTGCCACAGCTGTGAACTCATTTAGCTGTCAAGGCTCAAGCTTTGAGATTTGACGTGTGCAACTTCTTACCATCACCCTCAACAGAGCCTCTATGGCCTGTCACACACTCCCTCACCAGAAATAGCCCCAGGGGGCTAATTCGCTCCCCCCGGCAAAGTACAGGAGACAAATGTTCCAGATACCGCATTGCCAACAAGGTCTGGATTACCTTATTAAGTTTGAGGCACTCTTCCATGGTTCTTTCATCCCTGAGCTGGAAAGTGTCTGTCTGAGCACAGAGGGCCCTTTCACAGGTCCTCTTTTCTGTGCCGTTGCTTCTGCCATTTCACCTGCTTGGAATCCTGTATCATTTTCCCCTCTCGTTTTATATTTGTGAAACTGCCATGCATCCTTAAATAATCATTAACACTTATTGAGTCCATGTACCAGACACTGTGTTAAGCAATTTACATGAATTATTTTATTTAATCTTCACAAAAAAAAAAAAGAATTTTATTACCCCGCTTTTACAGATGAAGAAATTGAGCCACAGAAACGTTAAGTATATATATACATATATATCTTGAGAATAAGAGCAATGTCTTCTTTATCTTTGCATCTGTCAGGCCCTGTGTAAGTACATTTGCATCTTTCGGGCACTGGGGCAAATATGAAGAGAAACAAGATTTCTCCTCTGTCCTCAAAAAAAAAAAAAAAAAGGTTGAGCAAGTGAAATGCCAGTCCTCTATTGGCTGGATCTCAATTGCCAGAATGGATTGCTCTTTTTCCATTGTTGTAAAGCACGTTGTTTGTTTTCACCTGTATTAACGACCTCTGCTATTCTTCCTTTTTAAGTTAGTCACTTGTTAGTTACCGGTTGTAATTTGTGTTAATGCCCTCTAGCCAAAGACTACCAGGAACACACCTGTAGTTGAACATGTTGGTTTTATTACTCATTACAGTGAGGGAGAACACATACTATAGGGAACCATAGGACATGTCAGTAAGAGGGTATTAAAAAGGACTTATTACAGGATTTGGTTGGATAATTTAGGGGAAGGTCTAAGGAAGCAGGGGTTCATTCTATATTGTATGCTGTCAGAAAGTGAAGGCAATTCTGTGATTGGGCATCTTAATAAATATTTATAGGGAGGGCAGACTAAAGTGAGGATAAAATTTTATGGGTGGCACAGTGATCTTATTTTTGTCTGTGCTTAAATAAAATTATGAAGTGGACTTGTTTTGACTCACTTTATCATGTTCTCAGAGTAACTTTTTCTGATGTTGCTGTTTCATGAGATTGTTTATGTCCAACAGGAAAATAACATGGCCTACCTGTGAGTTCTAGGCCATCTCCCAGATGTCAGAGGATGCTTTTTTTCCCCCTTTCTTATTGGTAACTACTTAACACCACTCATTAGTTGTGTGGCTTTAGGCAAGTTACTTTACCTCTCTGTACCTCAGTTTTCTTACCTGTAATTGACAAAAATGGGCTTAAACATGGGGTTGTTGTGGGAATTAAATGAAGGAGTGTATATATAAGGTCCTTAAAATAGCACTTGGTACATAGGTAGCATTTACTGAATGTGGGCTATTATCCATGTTTGTCTTCCCCAAAGGACCATTATAGCATGAATTACATAGTATAATATTTATTTGTTGATATTTTCTCCCTTGCTATTTTGTAAGCTTCTTGAGGGAAGGGACAATGTCTATTGTCACAGTTATAATAGCTAACTTTTATTGAATGCTTTCAGTGTGCCAGGCACTGTTATTAGTACTGTAGTTATTCCAAGAAAACTTCTGAAGCCCCTACCAGCTAGCCTATGTGTCCTCCTCTGTACTCTCATAAAAAAAAAAAAAAAAAATGATTCCAACTCATAGCAACCCTGTAGGACAGAGTAGAACTGCCCCCCCATAGGGTTTCCAAGCAGCAGCTGATGCATTCGAACTGCTAACCAGTAGGCCATGTTATTTTCCTGTTGGACGTAAACAATCTCACGAAATAGCAACATCAGAAAAAGTTACTCTGAGAACATGATAAAGTGAGTCAAAACAAGTCCACTTCATAATTTTATTTAAGCACAGACAAAAATAAGATCACTGTGCCACCCATAAAATTTTATCCTCACTTTAGTCTGCCCTCCCTATAGATATTTATTAAGATGCCCAATCACATTCGAACTGTTAACCACTGCACCACCAGGGCCCCTGTATTCTCATAGCACCTATATTTCCCTTAATCACTACATATAGCACATGCTAATGACAATGACTGTCTTCTTTCCCTACTAGACTGGAGAGGCAGCAGGTAATTTTAGCTCTGGTGTCCAAGTCTGAGCACAGTGCCCAGGACAATGGAGGCACTCAATATGAAGGCATTGATTGGGTTTTTACTACATTCTTTGCATTTCTAGGGTGGAACTCAGATGAAGGCAGTGTCTTAGCCCCATCATCCATTTCCCTGGGGTTTATTGACTAAAGAAGTAACAAATGATCTCCTATAGAGTGATCATCCCTCTAAGGTTAATCTAAAGGAATCACTATGAGACTTCAATGCAAGAAGGTTCCATTTGGGAACAATTGGCCCAGCTATGTAACAGCCAATGGTAGCATACCCATTAGGGCAAAGTGGAGTAGTGAAGGAGTATGAGACTTGTTGTTAGTTGCCATCAAGTTGTTTCTGACTCACGGCAACCTCGTGTGTGAGAATAGAACTACTACATAGGATTCTCAAGGCTTTGACCTTTCTGAAGCAGATCACCAGGCCTATCTTCCGAGGCTCCTCTGGATGGGTTTTAACTGCCAACCTTTTGGCTAGTTGTCAAACGCTTAAATGTTTGTGCCACTGAGCGACCTGAGTATGAGACTAGGACCTAAAATCTTGGGTTCTGAATTTAATTCTTCACTAGACAAGCTGTGTGATTTTCAGCAAGTCACTGAAAATCTCTGACTCCCAGTTTCTCCATGGGAGAAATGGAGAGCATAATCTCTTTATTCATTGGCTAAAATAGAGCTTGATAACAATGATTAAAGAGAATTTATTGGAGTTCCTTTTTGGGAAAAACATTTAACCCCTCCATTACTTTCGTGTTACATGCTTGGATGATTCATAACCTCTGGAACTGGGCATCCAAAATGGCCACAGCCTTTCAGATGCCAACCAAGGGCCAAAGGTGTTATGGTTTTCAGCCTGCCATCCCCCCATCCTAACAGCCCCACAACTCAACCTGTTCCCAGTGAATGGAGCTACAGAGTCTGGAAATTTCTGAGGCTGCCACCCTGGAGCTGGACCCAGAAAGTTTCTTTTCACCATACCGAGGCCAGACACAGGATGTTTATTAGCCCAAATTTATGCTCTGCCTTCGCTCAAGAGAGATAAAATAAGGTGAATGACAGAATAACATTTTTATGGTATCATATGCATATAAAGGGAGGAAACGATCATATTATTTCTCATATAATGTACCACTATTATGCCCAGAGACTAAACAATAATAATAATGGCCTCTGACTGGGACTTTATGACACCTTTCCCTGGTGCATCTCAACAAGTGGCCCAAAGGAACTCAGAGAAGTCAGATGAATTGAAACCAGCATCGGCTGTTTCTCTTGTTTGAGGGGTAGCCCCCAGCACATACAAGTCTTTGGGTGTCACAAATAGTTAAGTGCTCGGCTACTAATTGAAAGGTTGACGGTTCGAACCCACATGGAAGCACCTTGAAAGAAAGACTTGACAATCTTCTTTTGAAAGGTCACAGTCATGAAAATCCCATGAAACACAGTTCTACTCTGAAATGCATGGGGTCGCCATGAGCTGGAATCGACTCGACAGCAACTGTTGCTTTTTTTTTTTTAATCCAACACATAGAGGGCTCCCATTAAATATAACAGAATCGATGAGCTGCCTTAATAATTCTCTCCTTTGTCTTAAACAGGGTT